TATTGTACTACCTAATGGGACGTAGCTGCAGGTATGACATGGGTTGAAGTCGTTACGTAAAGACAAAGAAAAACAAGATCCAAAAAGCATCTACTTTAGACTATGGAACAAGTAGAATATGCTACAATAACATCTTGTTTAATGAATGTTTACAGTACAACTGTCAGGTTAATGCTTTTCCTCTGTGCTCATTGTATTTAAATTAGAGAAAGAATTTCTTTTCTTTCTTTTTTTTTTACATTTTGAAAAAAAGTTTTCAACTGCTAACATCACTGATATACAAATACTTAAACATATTTACCAGGGTTTCTGTCATACTATAATAAAAGTCTTGTAAAATGTAAACTGCAACCTGTCGTGCACTTTGAGCAGCAGGTCTTTGCGCAGCTGCCATAGTAACCACTCGCTCTCTCTTCTCTCTCCAGGTCTCAACAACTACTTGGACGGAATCGCATACATTAAATCTCAATACGAGAGCAAGAACAAGTCTCCAAACAAAGATGTCTACTCCCACATCACCTGCGCCACTGACACCAATAATATTCAGTTTGTGTTTGACGCCGTCACTGATGTCATCATAGCTAATAATCTGAGAGGGTGTGGCCTATATTGATGAGGCAGTAACGTGTTGATAAAGGCTGCCAGATGCCCGCCTCAGACTGCTGTGCCCAAAGCCATGTTTTATCGTGCCTGGAGGTCAAGGACAGTCCCCTTTTAGACAATATGAATTATTATCATTATTTCCATATAATATACAGTGTTTATTACAGGTAATGAATTTACCTAAGATTTGCTTCTGATACATATAGTGTAGTTGACTTAATTCTCTCCCAAAAACAACCAATATGTAATATTTTAATAGGGCTCACTAAATCCTTGCCAAATCAAACAGATTGGTTTGTTTTGTTTTAAAACTTGCAAAGTCAGTCAAAGCTATGGATTGTTCCAAGCAGCTCACGTTTGTACTTTATCTTATCTCTCCCGCCTTGAGGAATTTCTCAAATAGCTCACTACACCAATGGGACAAGCAGATTATCAAATGTACTGTGACAAGTGATAATCCTACTTAATTTATTCATGCAATCAGTGCTCTAATTTATTTAGTATTTTTGTGCTTTCATCATCCACACTGAAATAAGTCGATTCTTGTTGTACACATTGCCAGAAGCAGGCAATGTATGGTTTTAGTTTCTTATTTGAAAACAATCCTTTACTGCCTTGTTCTCTTTGGCCTAATTGACTTTTTAAGCTGTTATGATGCATAATGCACAACACCATCAGTAAAGACTTCAAAAGTATTGATTTGCACTGAGTCTGTGGGATGTTTGTATATAGTTTGGGCTGAAGTGTCAGCCTAAGCTTTCTGTTTCAGAAGGAGAGCAGAGCTTTTTGCTGAGTGAGTGTTTTGTGACCAGTGGAGGAGGAAGATATGAGTGGTGTTTGTTGTGACGCATGTATTCTCATGTGACTCTTTCAGTTGTTAGAATAGCAGACGTTGTGTCAAACTTGATAAGGTTTTTTTGTTGTTAAAAAGCTGTGTTCCAAATGGTCCTTGGATTATGCGTAAGAGAGTGTTTGTCAGTAGCCAGGATTGCGCAAAAGCTGCTGTACAGATTTGAGCTGAAATGTTGTGAGTATAAGACTCCATTAAAATTTCAGGATGATCCGTGGCCATCAAGGTTTTCATGGATTATTCAACTATTGGCAAGATAACACTGTAAAAGGTCAGTAATAGGTCAATATGTTTGTTATTTGTTTTTGTATGGTTCAGGTAAACTTTATTGAGCATTCATTTATTCACAAGTTTTTATTAATGCATATCAGATGGATGACATCATCCATATCGGATCAGGCCTCAGGCTCATCTCTACTCATACAAATAGTGTTGGGCTTCGGTTTGTGCGTAGAAAGCTGGTGTGGAGCACGCACTGGGGCCTGTGCGGCAAGCGGTGCGTGAGGAGCAGAGGGAGTTACTATCTACGGGATTACCCAGAAGGCACCTGTCTACCCTTTTGCACGTGTGTTGTAGACTGATGGCTCCTCGGGGTTTGAAAATGTCACAACACCCTACTTTTCACACCAAATACTGCAGGACCCTCCATTTGAGACTCTTGCTTTTACTTTCATTACAATTCTGAATGTAACTGATTCCGGCTTCTGAATGACTGGATTTGCACAGCTGTGGATTGTGGAGTTTTGTCAGAGTAACTTATACTTATATAATCTTCAAAATAAGTTAAGCTTTTGCATTTCTGATTTTACTTAGAAGCTGAGTCATAATGTTTACTGTCTTTTATTTTAAAAGTCTATGGAATTTATTGTGATGACCAGTGTTATTTGACTCACGCCTGACGTTATGGTAAAGTGCAGTAGGATGTACTATGGCCTAAACCTCCATTGAGATCATGGATGCATATTTGCCTCAGGTCTTTGTGGCGGAACAGTCGGATATGGTTTTTATTGACCACAGTAACCCTCGGCACAGAGCAGCATCATTCTGAGATGTCACGCTAAGATGCATTTCAAAGTGCATTAGTTTTAAATTATGATGGCCTGAGATGTTATTCTGCTTGATGTTTACCTGAATTTATTATCCTAAAAATTGAAATGGGGGGAATTTTTGGCTAAGGCTGAGTAATATTAATGTAAAATTATACTGATATTGTTCTATGTCGATTGAAAAATAGTCTCTTACTTTTTACGGTTCTCTTATCGTTTTTTTCAGTCTACTGTATAAACTAATAGTCAGTGTGAGTTGTATGTATAATGAGTATTGGACCAAAATAAATTGTATAGACATTCCTACATTAAATATATTGTGGTATCTATAAGTGTTGTCCCGAAATTACATTTAAAGGCCCAGCATCACATAAGATTTTTTCATAGCCGAAGCTCCTCCTCTTCTGGAGCGTGTCATGTTTTCCATTTTAGCCAACTGCTTGAGTGTACGTATTGATGCAGTGGTGAAGTAGCCTCGCGCCTCCCTTATGTAACATATCAAAGTGATGGATGGGCCACAAGAGCTGCTATGAAGTCGTTGCTGTTGTACGGAAAAGCATTTGTAAGAAACATATACTATAATTTATGCAAGAATCACAAAGAGTCTTTGATTCACCATGTGACTTAAATTCTAATTATTGTTGTTGTGACGCGCTGCTGAGTAACTGCAAATTAAAATCCGTCCCAATCCAAACAGCTCCCACCGCCCAAGCATTGGATATTCTGAGCATTTTGTCTTTTTAGAGTTTTTTCTTTGCTTTGGATCTAATTATATCTAAAGAAATGTGGTACATTTATTCATATTTGTTATATTCTCACACACTAGATTACACATTCTGTAAGTTACAGTTCCAATAGAGCTAGAAATAGAACATTTGAAGTGGAATGTTGAAACAGTAAATTAAAAAATCTAGCAAAGATTAATTTAAGTTAAGAACGCATAGTACTTTTGGCAGAGTAGGTTAAAAATAATGGGATTATAAATAATTGACAACCGATTGTTGTTGTATTGTCATTTTAATTTCAGTTTTATAGTCGTTCATTCATAACATAGGTCCTACTATATACATACACACATATTGTTGTAACATGGAGATGTGGTCCTTGGTATCAATGCTTTTGTAAAATTGGTAAACACAGACCTATGTTGAAGTGACAGGCCTTTTACACCTAGCTGCAGTTGGACCTGTGCATCTCTGCTAAACACATTATAAAGTCTGGTGGGCCATTTATAATGCATGTTCCTCCCACTGTCAGCTCATTCTGCGGCATCTGGCCGCTGGAAGGCCGAAAGCTCAGAAGGCATTTCTTTTTGCACTGTTGCATATACAATACAAAATGTTTCATTAGTTCAATAGAAAAATATTTGTAATAATTCTGACAACACCACCCACCAATATGAGTTCTATTATTGATCAAAAATCACGATTGTGTTGCTCTGCGGTTCTATAGGGGAAGTCAAAGCCACCAGGCACAAATGGAATTATGATGAACTGGCGTCAGAGTGAAAACGCGGCGTGTAAAGTGTTGAAAAACCATTGCTTTCATTTCCTCTTTATTGCAGTCCCTTTATTGAAAATGTGTGTGGGTTTATAGCTGTGTCAGTAGCGGCCATCTTTGTTTTGTCCATTCTGTACATATGCATGTAATAAAAGGGGGCTGTTATTTGAGCACTGTACACTGTTTCTCTCTCATTGCTGTGATAATTTATTGAGATGTATTTATACAAAAATAAGAATAAAGCTCCAAACATGCTAAATCAGACTGTGCTGAATTATTCATGCGCTACATGTTGTGATTCTAACTTTTTTAGTTTTTAAATAGTGAGATCACACTTTGCTGCACGGATCTTTCACCTATCCAACTGTTTTTTTTTCACCGTGTTTTTGAAAGTGTGATGATAGTTATTCAGAGCTTTGTATAGAATATACACTCACATCATTGTAATAATAACACTTGTAACTTTTGCTCTTCAGCCTGAACTGTTGTTTATTCCAATGTATATAAGATAAGATGTACTGTATTAATCTCACACAGGAGAAATTTACATATAATGAATATAATCTAACTCTAAAAACATCTTGGTTGTGTCACTAGTTTTCACCTGCATGTATTTTTTGTCTCAATCTCTCAATTTCAGACAGAAACGTGAAAAAAGAACCACTCTCTCTCTCAGCCAATCATCTCTCAAAATGTCAAATGTAACATGTTTTTTTAATGTTCATGTTGGGACAATGTATTATTCATGGGAGGGGTGTTAGATTACCCAGCTTTAACGTGAAAAACATTTACATTTAATCCTTCATAGATTGTTTGATTTCTTGTCGTCTATTCATCATTTTCAGATTCCTGCTTCATACAGTATTTTTTACCTTTTTTGTTTTTTAAATCACGAGGTCAACGCTCCTCATTTCTAACTATTCTAAAACCCAGGCCATTCCTGTGAATCAGTAATTACCATGATTTTAACCTTTATTATCCGTTTGTCTACCCATGTGCAGAATCGCATGCACGAGTCCCTGATGCTGTTTGACTCCATCTGCAACAACAAATTCTTCATCGACACCTCCATCATCCTCTTCCTCAACAAGAAGGACCTGTTCGCAGAGAAGATTAAGAAGTCCGCGCTCAGCATCTGCTTCCCAGAATACACAGGTAAATTATAACCACTACAGGACCAATGGAGGACTGAACTTCTGTACCCTGCAAGTGCACTTTACACGGCGTCCCGGTGAACAATGCTGTGAAATCCAATTATTGCAAACATTCAAAGCAGGAATGAGGGTGACACGTTGCAGACTTGAGTCATTATGCCGCAAAATGAGCAAAACAAGACAATCGCTGCTATTTCGAGCCGGGCGAGTTGGCATAAAGATGAGCGCACTCTTTTCTTAATTGCCTTCTTTTATTGTCCTTTTTGTGGGGTAATTGTATTCTATAATCCAACGAAACTGACCTAGAAACCTCAAGTCAATATTTGTTTGCTTTGAATGAGCCATAATCACTTTGCAAATTGCTCCTAATTGTGGCTAGATGATAAAACAACAAAAGTATAATGTTTTGAATACATTGTTTACGTGACCGGATATCTTGCCTTTATCCTTCTTATTTTGTCTCCCTTGTTCTTCAGAAATTGCCACTTTAGTTAATACCCAGTTTCCACATAAGCTAGCTTTGTGTCGTGACAGGGTCAGAGTGTCGCTAAGTTGGTTGGATATGTCTCAGATTGGTCAATCCTTATTTGGCTCAAATCTGGATTTACAAAGTTTATATCACAAAATGCATGTAAGGATCATGGAGAGAACAAAACTATGGATTTTTAAGCCTAAAATACTGAGTGTGACACAAATTGGTTACTGCCAGAGGAGTTTGTTTTTACAAGTTGGAGCAAATCTTCGTCCATGAACACTTCCCTATTGGGCTTCAATGAGCTTGAGGTAGCATTGTCCATCTACAGTGTATGTGTCCTACCCTCTGGACTGTTTGATTTTTCTAAGTAAAGATGGAGAAACAAACATTCATACTAATTTAATGGAGACAAAAGAATAAGTCCGTCTGCTCTTTGCTGTTCACATAAACACACCGGGGGAGCTCTAACAAAATAAAAAAAACATACGAGATTGGACGCATTGCTAAAGTACATGGTAGAAGTAGCAGCTTCTTGTCCAACATGTACTGAATTATGTTTGATTATTCAACGAGTTCCACCAAAATCAATTAATTTATACGATACAAAAAACATGTTTGGATTTTAGTCCCTAATGTGATTCAGTTGCTATGATTAACTGCATGGGTTTATTTGAATATTGAGTGCCACTTCTGTCATGCAGCAGTGCACAGCTACTGAAGCAAGCGTCATCTACTGAAGATAGTGGATATACGAGCTGTTTTCATCCACTGAGCAGTTTAGACATAGTTTCACTTTCAGGTTGAAAAACGCAATGCATTTAAACAAACGTTTAAAGAAAAACTAAATTATATAAGACTCTGTGTACAAAGGGGAAATTGTTATGATCAAGCTTTTTTCATAGATTTCTGCCACAGCAAGAGCAACATGGTCGGGGAGGGAATGAGTACAGGACATTTCTCAAGTACTTCAATAGGTTTTACAATTCTATTTCAGTTGGAGGACAGGAGTCAGTACAACTCTATTCAAAAGAAATATGTTTTAATTGACTGTTACGACCCAGCTCAGCTAGGGTAAGGGAGGTAACAAAAACAACCAAGATGTTAAATGGCAAAGCAAGTATTTAATAACAGGCAAGTAAATGATAAGTGGACATAAACCAAAAGGACACAACACAGGACATAAGGGGATAACTCAACGTTCCCAAAACAAAACCTACACTAAACTCCTTACACTTAATACACATAGAACTAAACGCTAAACTGACTGTTGTCTCAACTAAAGCGAAGTGTCACAAAAACCAAACCTCAAAGTGGCAACTGAAAAGAGACAAACCAAATAAAAGCTGTACGGACTATGTCTCTCTAGTCATTGCCACCACTGTGACAATGACAGACATTTCTGAAGGACCAAAGGCATACCAGCCACACACAGGCTGCAGCCGCGAACAGGTGTGGAGTGTGGCCTTAAGTGGAGACTGACTCCAGGTGGGGAAGCTGGATTGGCCAAGTGCACCGCTGCTCCTCCAAGCAGCACCTGAGTCACGGACATCTGGGAGGCGGGAGGGCCAGTTGTTCTCCAATCAAAGGCCAGGGATATCAAGACAGAAGGGGTTGCCACACACACACACACACAAAAACCAAATTCAAACAGAGAGCAATATAACATAGACGTTTGGAATTTGGAAAAAAAAATATTTTCGCCGATCCTTTTTCATACAAATACCAGGAAAGCTTTTCATCCGCCCTCCCCCACCATTTTAAACTAGCTCTTTGGAACGTTGTTATGTCAATTAAATGCAACTTATTGAAAGAGAAACTTTGTATTACTCAAAACCTTTACTTCGACAAAAAGGCAAATTGTTTAAGTGCTTTAGTGCTGTTAACAAGTTCTAAAAGTTTCAGTTTTTGGCAGTGCAAAGAAGTCACCAACATCACATTTGAAATCTTGTAAATCTGGCGAATGCACAGTGGGCTTTCCGCAGCCGCTCGGGCCACATTAAATAAATATTTACACAGTCGCTGACATGAGCCACATGTCGGCTACTTCAGGAAGTCAACATAACATCTGGCACCGTGAGCTTCTCCCTGTCAGTGTCAATATTTACTCTGCTTTTACTTGCTTCATATGACCTGAGAATAAAAAATAGGCATAGGTCCCTTCAAATTGAATGAAATCGGTTGTTGTTCCAATAACCTTGATATTCTGATATCTGTCTTCACTTTTTCTTGAACTATTTGAAACCTTGACATTTCCACGATCCCGAAGGATTCAGGGAAGTGTTCAGAAGAATCTCTAGATCAATGACTTCACCAAAACGTTTGATGTGAAATAATTAAACAGGGTTTCATACGTTAAAGGGACGGCGTTCTTAGAGGTTTAAATATTTCTACAGTCATAAATTAGCATGGATATTCATTGCCCTTAAAGGAGGAGATATTGCACTTTTTTGCTGGACTATCGAGTGCAGGGCCGGCCCTACACCATCAGGCGCCTGAAGTTTAAGAAGTGCCTTTTGGCAGCTCATCCCCGCTGCTTCCCTTTCCACTTTTACCGTAAGTAACAGCGAAAAGGGGCCACCCACTTTTAATGTGGGTTTTTTACCGCAGACTTGAAAAACTGGGCCACTTTTACCACTGTGAAGGAAGGGACGGAAGGGGTTGTGACGTAATGTTGTAACATTACAAACATATTCTATTATTCCTTTTAGATAGGCTTTTTTTTTTGCCTTTAAATTAACATGGGATTATTTTGTATTAAAGGAGCAATATGTAAAAATCTGGCCAAAAGTGGTACTGCAATCACGGTCACAATTCTGTATTCCTCTCCCACTCGCCCTGATTCAGATTGCCAGATATGCACCAAAATCAGCTGGGACCATAATGGCTGAATAGCCAAGAGTTTTTTTCTCAACAACAAATCTACACCTTTTTCACAAAGGCATCCCTGATAGAAATCCTTGTTTTGTCATTTATGACTTGAGAATCATATCGGTACTTTCTTTCGCACTGCAGCCACATGTTACTTTACCAGTGAGATTAGCTCCAGTGAGATCCAGCGAGTTCTGACAACCCGGATCACGAACTTTCACCAATCGCTAAAACGTTGGAGGGCGGGACATTGAAATTAAAATAAAACTAAGATTCAAGGGCTGTCAAACTAATTTTGAAATTCGAATACCTCGGCTGAACTAAAGTTATCAGTTAAAGAAGTATTTGAAAAGAGCATGATTTATTAATACCTTTTGACATCAGATTTCTAGTCTTTAGAACTACTTTCTCTGTAATCCACATGAACCTGTCACAAAGTGCCACATCTTCTTTGCAGCAAATATCAACTGTGTGGTCTAATTATTTTCTCTTAAATATGTCTAAAAGTGTAGAAATATATATGTAACATATTCATGACATCGGGCTGGAAAAGGGATAACATTTGAATTTCCTTTTCCTAATTTCTTTCAAAAAATGAACCCACTTCAGATATGGTTTTGATGGGGAATCACTTTATGAAATAGTCCAAATCTGATTGACTTTACATAACCGCTCCCCTTGAATCGGACAAGCTTCAGTTCAAAGCAGTCCCTGAGCTCTGTTGGACACTTTGCTATCGCTAATTACGAACTGGCTGATGGTGGTGTGGTTGTAGCGGTGATCAGATCAGAAGACGTTTAGCTTTGATTCCCACTGTTTTTTTGTTGTTGTCATCCACAACTCATCCTTTTTCAAAACAAATCAAAACACACAGTCGCATTTTTTTATTTGTTGAATCATGATCTCACAGTAACTGATTTGAAAATGTGTCATATTTGGTAACACAGATTTGAATTCTTATTATGAACATTATGGACATTGGTCATCCTGCTTTGGACAAATGGCTCCTATGTCTATGTAATATCCATTTTCTGTATTCTAATGGTTTGATTCTCCTTTCTGATCTTGGCCAATTGACATTTTTTGTAAAGTCCTTTGAGACTACTGCTGTCGCAATTTAGGGCTTTAGAAAAATGCAGTGAAAGGAATTGAAAAAGCACTCAAAAAAAAACTCAAAGAATTCAAAAGCTAAACAAAACTACGCTATGATGTTTTCCATGTTAATTTGAAAACTACAGTAATTGATATTGGTCAGTTAGACTTAATGTTGTTTGTTTATCATTGATTTTCATTTTACACTGATGCAGGAGTTGCCAGCATCTGGTCGCTGCTCTCATTCTGTCGTTAAGTTGATGGAGTGCTGCAGCATTAGGTTGTGTGTGTGTGTTTTATGGATCATTTCTATGCACAAACAGCTACAGTGATAAAACGCCTCCAAATTCCATACAAAATCAAACTGAAGCTGGCTGAGAACCCTTTGGAGCACAAACACATGGCTGGACCCTTTGCGATGCTCAGGCCCTGTAGTTTTGGCCTCTGGTGACTTATTTACTCCAATTATAAGTGGGAATTGCACATAGAGAGATCAAACTCCAAAGTCTACCTACATTTGAAATGGTAAACATAAAGGAGGTCATAGTTTCCAGGCCGTCCCCTATGTAAAATCCCAGTCACTTTTTTGTTATTTTTAGGTATCCCAGCGTTTAGTGTAGATTTCATTCAAACTGGTCCAGGTTCATCCCAGAATGTTTTATTTGACTCTAAAGAGACAGACACATCTTTGTTTTAATATTTCTCATTTATAGGTGTTTGATTCTTATATTTTATATTTTTTCAAGACAGAAAACACGCACATTCCAATCCTTTGTAAAGGGTACGTCTGTAGCGATGAGCTCTGGACAGAGGTCTGATGAAGGGCCGGGCGTTCGAAACCGCACACCCTGGTGTAAGCTACAATAAATATCTAGGAGCTAAAGGCTGTGCAGACCTCATCTCTAAGTATTTTAACAATTGGTTGTTCAAAAGTTCAAAACACAAGAATGAGAGTAACATCCAGCTGTGCCCGACGCTGCTGTATGCGTTTAATATCTTTGTGTGCTCTTATTACTGCCCTGTATCGGTGCTGCAACATTGACATTTCCTCTCTGTGGGACGCGTAACGGTTTTATAATCTGATCTTATCTTTTCCCTCTGCTCAGGGCCCAACACCTACGACGATGCGGCCGCTTACATTCAAGCACAATTCGAGAGCAAGAACCGCTCTCCAAACAAGGAAATCTACTGTCACTTGACCTGCGCCACGGATACAGGAAACATCCAGGTGGTGTTCGACGCCGTGACCGACATCATCATCGCCAATAACCTGCGAGGCTGCGGCTTGTACTGAGCTCCCCCTTCCCCTCTCTGTGTCCCCCCCTCTACCTGTTCCTCTGACACTGCTGTGGAAACGACCATGGTGATGATGACGATTCTGCTGATTATTTAAAGATAAACGAAAGAAAAATGCAACTAGGTACATATTAATGATGAGGATAATTTAAAAATAGGCGTACGTATATATAAATATAAATATATATATATATATAATGTTTTTAGTTTTTGTCTCTTCTCGCTCTGAATCCTCCTCCAGATTGGCGGCTGCAGCCCGGCAGTCTCGCAAACTAGTTGAACAAAGCTGAAAAAGCCTGTTTTCTTGCTCTTCTCTCTTTTCCAGCTGTTGTCACTTCAACAACAGCACTATCTCATATTTGCAATTTTTGTATTACTTTGAATAAGACTTTTGTTTTATTTTATTGATTGTGTGTATATTTATTGCAGTCTGATTTTTATTCACCTCACTTGACACCTTCATTTGTGTAATGTTTTATTCTCTTTTTTTGCCATAAGTAGTGAAATGTATTAACATGTTTGGAAGATGTGACAATTGTAATAATAGCACTAAAATTGCAGCAAGGTCAGCCAAACCTTAAAACAAAGACCTGCGCAAGTGATTTTTAACTTTGTTTTTTGTTTACATTAGATTTAAAGCAGTTCACTATGAATTTTAATCAATTGTTTAAACTTTTTGGATTTTTTTGTATAATTTTTCCTTCCATTCTTCAGACACAAGCTGTTTTATATTGGCAGAAAGTCAGGCATTCTGTCCATGGCTTTAACCGTTAGTCATCGCTGGTCATGGCCGAGCTGATAGCCAATAAGAAACAAGCACCCAACAGTGCCATTGAACAGAGGTACTGTCTGTAGATAGCTATGCTCTTAGAAGCAGTGCACCTATCACTGTTAACCTAGTTTAGACCTACTAACATTACCATGGAATATACTCGCCTCCTGATGAGTTGTTCATTAATTTATTGATTTATTTATTGACCAGTCCCACACACCTCCTCTGTAGCGCATCCACTAAGCCTTTTTTTACGTCATCTTTGCTTTGGTTTTTGCATGGTGTCCTGCTTTCAGATGGGACTCCTCTCTCCTCCTAAAGCCTGACACAAATAGCATGAGAAAGCCTTTGTATAAATAGTGGAGATAGTACAGCAGACAGAAAAGTTCACCTAGAGTAGAGACAAAACCTTTGATAAAAATAGCAAAAAGACACTTAAAAACACAAAAAAGACAAGATGAGAGAGCGAAGGAGAGAGATGATCTTGAACTAGGAGGGGCGGGGTTGATACAAGTTGTACAAAAAAATTTAAAAACGGCAAGAGAGGCTCACGTTTATATTTACCTTCGTTGAGCCGGTTAAAACTGAAACGATCTGGTCTCCAAGCTAATACTTCCACAATGAAAACAAATTGATAATCCTTCACAAACCTTTCTCGTGCTTTGTAGCGACTGAAATTGTTTCCGTTGTTCCGTTTGAAAAAGAAAAGAAAAACGTTTTTGCAGAGTTTGCCGACAGAAGTGCGACCTGATACGTGACCCTGTGTCGTTGTGATGCTATGAACTTACCACTTCCTTTTTCGAACCATTTTTGCCTGTTTCCTGCATTTAGAAAAATAAAAACCGTGTCCTCACTTTAGCCTGACTCAGAACGAACTGAATATAATACTATAATAACAATATCTATTTTTATGATTTATCGACGGAAACCACTTCTTCGGGGGGAGAGCACGTTACGACGCCGCGTCCGCTCGGTAGGCGCGCCGCATGTTGACACTCTTTTGACGCTGTACAAAGTCATGCTCCTCTTTCTTCTGTCTTGTTTGTTTTTTTAGTTTGGACTTTCACTCGAGGTCTCCAATGAAAAGCACAGTTCTCACCTTTCACATGACACACACACACACACACACACAAGTAGATTTGGAAATTTGTTATATCTCCATGCCTATTCTATGTTTCCCCTCATTGCTCTATCTATCTATATAGACCTCTCTCTCTCTCTTTGCCTTCTTTATTTCTAGTTTTTAAAAAAGAAAGCAACTGTGTATAATGACATGATATACCTGTTTTTTGGCATTCTGTTCCATCCTTTTTTACACCTTTCTTTTGTTTTGTTTTTCTCCCAGTGAATGCTCTTCTGTGCAGCTTTTTTTCTTTCCTCCTCTACTCCTCTTTAGTGAATGGTTGTTATTTCATGTGGGATGTCCGTGCTGGAAAAACCAATCGAATGTAGTGTTTACATTAAAAAGCCACTGTTTTCATGACTACAAAACACGTGCTCTGTTTTTTTTTTCATGAGGTGTGTTCAAAGTGAACCTATAGAGGCCCGTAAAGGTTATAATCGTATGTAATTATATCAGCAGTGCATAAACGAACCTCTCCAGACACATTTTACTTTGATGGCAGTTTGAAAGGTCATGTTTGTGCACCATGTACCGCAAGATTGATCTAAATCTGCTTAAGAATAGAGGGAGGTTCATTGACTTCCTGTTCAAATCTACAGAACTGATTAGCTTTATGCCTTCTGATATTGTAGCAGCAATTCATCAAAGCTGCAGCGGCTTTTGTGTTTCATTGTTGAAGAAAATATGACCTGGAGATCCTTTTTTTTTTTTTTTAAAGCTGGGTTACCTAACTTTTTCTACATAAATAATGCAAGTTGTTTGTCCCAACAGAAAAAAAAATACAAGTAAAATGTTGGTTCGCATTTATTTCTTATGTTTGATTCCACCTCCTCGAATCAAACCCATGACCTGTGTCTGTGAAGGTTCCCTCAGGGTGCTCCGGTTTCCCCCACCACTCAAAACATGTACAAAAGGGAAAGTCCTACACCTCCGGTCCTGACCAAGCCGAGCATCAACATCTGGAGATGGGTCCCTGGGCGCTGTACTATTATAGCGACTACTATTCCTGACAGAGTGGAATCAGAATGGGTCAAATGCAGAGGATAAATAAACTCTACCTTAACCTTAACCTTTAGAAAACATGTTATCTTTTGCATACTTTTAAGTGATAACCTGTGAGTCACTATGACCCCAGAGCTGAGTGAGATTGGTCCTCTCTTTTCCACTTGTGTGTCTCAAAAAATTGACCGAAAGATGTGACAGAGGCCAAAAATACATGCTAGTGATAGAACAGATTCTGGTAGCTACAAAACGGTGGTTGGTGAAAATGCACTCAAGCTTGGAAACTACAGGACAACATTATTAAAATCAATTGAAGTGAAGCATCATAACAAGTTTAAAACCTTCTTAAATCCATGTTATTTATAGTACAAAGGAAAACGTATGAACACTGCTATCTGTATTGAGGGTAATTGGTTAAGGTTTTGAAAGGACACATAGTTCCAGACTGTATTCTTTGGTGACATACTGCGAGACGTGATGCATCTGAAGAACACTTGTTTTCCTTCCGTACATGAAGTCCCATGAGCGAACACACGTCAGTCATGAGATAAGACGCCTCTAACTTCCTTGTTCTCTGGTCCCTGAGAGGAGCTGACTGTCGTAAGGGTCATGGCCCAGTCTGTTTGGTGAATGTAGACAGTCCCTCTGCTTTCTTCACAGAACCCGGCACAATAAACGAATATCTAATGACCCAATCAGCCAACGGAAAGTTGTTATCATTTTCACTAGAAATGCTATAATCTTTCACAAGAATTACCAGATCGTATACTGAGGACGCAGCCTTTAGATCGATGAGAAATTCTATCTGTTGCCATGGTAATCGACAGGTTCAACACAAAACACACTACAAAAGAAGACAAAATAAGTCAAAAACGTCTTGAATTGTGTTAGCTTTATCTTGATTTTTAGTACATGTTGTTGCTCTAAGATTGGCTTATGGGACAAGCAAAAATGTCTTGTTTTTTCTCACTTGCAATGAGAAAACGATTGCTATGGCCTTTTTGCTCATTAGAAAATCAGCACTCAAGATGTACATGTATAATCAAGATAATATTATTTGATTCAAGCATTCACTACCTTTTGAATGAATCAGTTTAGTAGTGCACAGTAGGCCTATATGTTTCGATAAGATATATATAAACATACATCTTTACTATTATGTCTTTCACTCAAAGAACCGTGCTGTTTCTTTCTACCTGTGCTTGTATTATCAGGGCTCTTCTTGAGGGCCCTGCTGCGGCCCACGCCTGATGACAAACAGAATAGTAAATGCAAGAGGAGAGAGATGGAGGGAGGTTATGTCACACCGTGTTTTATATCTACAGAGCAAAGAGACGGCCCTTTTATCCTCAGAGCTGAAGCTGCTGCTGGTTCAGTGAGTTCAGCACAGGGCAGACAGAAGCATCCACCAGAACCCAGCGTGGAGGGGCATCAGGGCATCTTTTCAGAGTTACCACGTTCTAAAACATGAAATGACAAGTAAACTGTCTCAATATACATTTGTCAGTTACGTAAGTGTGTAAGAGGCATTTGGAAGATAAGCATTGGTTAGCCGCAACTTCCTGATTGGGCAAAATTAATTCAAATCCTTGAGGCCCCGTGTCATTGGTTTAACTGTTCTCCTCTTTCTCATGGGTTGAATTCAGGCCAAGGGGAGAGATTATTTTAAAGATATCATGGTTGAAAAAATACAATACTGTACGTAATAGCACAGTGCCCCATTGTAAGACTAATACATTATTTTAAAAATTAAACCAAATTCCTTGTTGTAGGTAAAGAATAATCCAATGCAATCCACTATTTATACAGCACAGTTTCCAAAGTGCTGCACAATAAAATACTAGTTAAAACAATTCCATAGTAAAACAGTAAAATCATTAAAAAATCAAATGACAAATAATTCCTAATATTTTTCATCTTTTTGCATTTTGAGATGATTTTCTTACCCCATTTAAAGCAAACCAGACCAACACGTGCCCTAAAGCAAAGCTCGAACCAAAACCAATATTTCCCATTAATTGATTACAAATGAGCAGAGTAACAATAAAACATATTTTCTATTTTACTATCAAATTATTAAACTAATACATATTGAGTAGAA